ATACGCAGCCCGTAATTCTCTCTGACGATGGGAGACAGAACAAAATGAGCAAAAGATAACCCATCATAGAATTAGGACTTGGGCCCGGTCTCTACACATATAGAACCCACATTTTAATTGGATACATTAAAACCCAAAAATCGAAGTCTCATTAGATCACTTTAATTGGACTCAACTGAATTCGATAGCCTTTAATTTAGTACACAATTATTCACACATATAAACCCACATGATCGATTTAAAAATTCCTTACAGTAATGTGTGTAATACCATGTTGCTTGGCCAATTGTATAAACATTAGGATAACAATGAACCCTATATTTTTTTATGTTTTAATGTTAATTTTTAGATTTCGACTTAATTACTTGCTTGATTTGAATGGTTGATAGGATTTTAATACTTTTTAATTACTTAGCTAATAATTAAATTGATTCATGATTCTTATTTTGTTCGATAGAAAGAACATGAATTATGGCACATAGTAATGAGAGATAGATATATACATTTATTCTTTGCACTTGCATGATCTCATTGAATTTTCTTGTGATTTAATACATCTTTATATGTTCGCATCCTTAATAGAGATGTAATATAGGTCATATGTGAGGATACGTTTAATATTACTCAAGAGAGAATATTGAATAAAACATGGACATTGATAATCAAATTTGAATAAGTATTGTCAAATAATGGAATTGGTATAAAAATGTAAGAATATAAGGGGATTCAAAGTCTTGGTGCTTTTCATTAATTGAGTGTTATCAATGCTTCGTAGTTAGTTTAAAAACTCTATAGTTATAGGTTTTAATTTGTAATCATAAAACTCATGCAATTTTCCTATTTTGTTAAAAATTAGTATTAATCAAAACTAAATTTAGTATGCAAACCTAGTGAAAACAATATTTTACTCATTTTATTATTTGGCTACGATATCATATACTTTTGGGATCCTAGGTGAACAAATAACAATATTTTCAAACTGGCACAAGTAAAACATTCAAAAATTCACCACTAAAAAGATAATGAAGAACATTCGACAGCCAACTCTAGCTAGGACAAAGAGCACACAAATTCCTAAGCATAACAAAACTCATTAACACAAATTGCTAAGCAAAAACAAATTGAAGAACATTAGGCACTAGCACACACCTCGCCTCATCTAGAATTTGGCTTGGAGTGGATCCATAATGTTCTTATCGACCTGGAATGCCTTGAGAAGAATATCACTCACAATGTTCAATTTTGATCCAAAATAATTACACATGGATTCTGATTGCTCAATGCTGCAATGGCTTACCAATATTGCATTGAAAGTGAACAAGTCCTATCAGGAACACAAAAACATACCCCCCTTTTAAGTACTTTAGTGATGTATGAGGATCCGAGTCAAGTGATGCTGATCTGTCGGATAGCACGTTGATGACGTAAGATACCATCAGATAGCAGAACGACACAAAAATGGAAAATAAATGCTATCTTTCCTTAATTGGGGCAATTATGACACGTTTTTGGTAATTTGGCCATAACTTTGGCTACGGTCATCAGAATCGTTATTATGACCCCAATTCGGAAAGCTCGTTTTGGTGCGCACGTCGTGGTCACCAAGTTATGCTCAATGGACATCAATTTCGAGCCCAAAATCCACTATTTTCTTCCGAAATTCAATTTTTTGTTATTTTTTATTATTTAAGGTAATATTTCGTTTCCTTTTTTTTTCTATATGTTAGAGAACTCGGATTAAGCCAAATTTTTGGAAACTTACTTCTTTTGTTTCATATTTTATTTCGATGTGATTTTTGGAATTTTTCCATTTTTGTTAAATTTTCCATATTTTTTGAATTTTCTTAGCCATTTAAACCAGCTTGTGGGTTAATTTTCGTCATTCTGCATTGATAATAAAATTGAGCTAATTACAGAGAAGTTCTCCGTGTTTTTTTTGTGAGGCATTTTCTTTCTTACTTCTCTTTGTGAACTATTAGTTGCAACGAGCCTATAGGATAGTCACTATCCTTCTCGGCGTTAGTTGGTATCAGAGTGTCAGCATCTTCCTGGGATGAATTTCCATCAGTTGCAATGGTTGGTGGACGTGGTCGTGGTCATCGAGGGCAGGTTCCTATTGAAGAAGTCTCACGCCGTGATAAAAAATATTCAGGATGTGACGATTGAGAATTTGCAGAGACAAGTTGCGGAGTTAACCCAATGTCTGGTGGAACAGAAGTTCAATAATCATGATGTGGAGAGTCACATTTTTTATACCAGTTTTGAAAACCCGTATTATAGTCGTACTCGAATCTGGGAGCATTATGGATGGGAAGATCGCCATGTGGACCTCGATTTCAAAGTGGATCTGCCCGAGTTCTCTGGTACGTTACAAGCTGAAGGTTTTATTGATTGGCTGAATGAAGTGGAATAAATTTTTTAGTAGAAGGAGGTTTCAGATTGTGTCAATGTAAAATTGGTCGCCATCATACTTAAGGGAAGAGCTTCTGCATGGTGGGAACAATTGAAGCGTTCGCGAAAGCGGCAAGGCAAGTCTAAGATCACTGATTGGGAGAAGATAAAGAAGAAGATAAAAGGGCATTTTCTTCCTTTCGGCTATATTCAGACTTTATTTTAGCAGCTCCATTCACTAAGGCAAGTTACAAGATAGTTGATGATTATACGGAGGAGTTTTATCAATTGGTATTGCTCGGAACGATTCATCTGAAATAGAAGAATAGATGGTTGCATGGTATGCGGGGGGATTAAGGTTGCCCCTACAGGATGTTCTAAGCTTTCATTCATTGTGGACAGTGTCTGAAGCATATCAGCGTGCACTTGCTGTGGAAAGGCAGCAAAATAGGAAGCCAATGGTCAGAAGTGACAGTAGTCAGCCACTTAGCCTCAAGCATCTCGTCCTACCTATCAGCCCCCGCCGGGCAATCCTAACTCAAGCATTGTATTCAATTTAGAGGTTTAATGACTTTTTGAAATTTAAAAAGTCTAGGGGTATTCAATTGAGACTTTTTGAGACTCTCTAAAAGTCACGATATATTCAATTGAGACTCTTATAGACTTTTAAGAAGCCTCTAAAAGTCATGATGTATTCAATTGAGACTTTTATAAATTTTTAAAAAGTATGTAAAAGCTACGGTGAGTTCAATTAAAACTTTTTAAAAGTCTCTAAAAGTTTTAGGGTATTCAAATTTTAATGGTTTTTAGAGACTTTTATAAAAGTCTATGCAGTACTAACTTTTAAGCAGAAAGTACTCATATAAAATCTTAAAATTTGTCTCTCATTAATCACGAGATTTTGGGAGGCTTTCACAAATTTTTTTTTCAATCTTTTTTCCTTTAAATTTCTATGGACATGTATGATTAGAATTTATTTTTTTCTATTGATTATATTTATTTTCATTTCTCTCTCTCTCTCTCTCTCATTATTTATCTCTATTTTTTATGAAAAAATTAAATTGGATTCTTGTATTTTTTTTCATTCATTTTTTTGTGAAAATATCTATTTTTTATTAAATTATAAAATTTTATATAAAATATTTATAATTTAATTTAATTGTATTGATTTTTATTTATTTTTAAAAGTATACTATGCTAATAATATTGAATCATATATATGTATAATAATAATAATTATTTATTTAATTAATGTCCTAAATTTTTATTTTTTCAATTTTTTTTGTTATATGGGAAGAAGGGAAAGGATGGGAAATTATGGGAACTAATATCTCGTATATGAACATTTCACATCATTGTACTAGATTCATGTGAATTCTATTTCAAATGAAAGTTTTCAAAAGTATTTTGAATTATACAAAAGTCTATAAAAATTTTAAAATGAAAATCTATCAAAGTCTACGAAAGATTTTCACTAATTTCATACCAATCTATTAAAGATCCACGAAATCCACAAAAGTCACTACTTAAAAAAGTCATTCAAAGTCTTCAAAAGTTTCAATTGAATACACCCTCCAAGTGTTTCAGATGTAGTGAACAGGGAAATAGGGCTACTGATTGTAGGGAGCCGGCTGATCAGAAGAATAAAAGTCTTTTGATTGAAGAGGATATGATAGAGGAGTTCGAGGAGGTTGGCAAGCCTGTATATGATGATGGTGAAGATGAGTATGTGCTGTATGGGGATGGCCCGGAGACCCTAGTTGTTCACAAGAGTCTGCTAACTCCTAAGGGCGATTTAGAGAACGATTGGTTTAGGACCAATGTTTTCCACACGACTTGTATAGTTGCCGATAAAGTCTGCAAATTGATCATTGATAGTGGCAATTGAGAATGTAGTGTCTGAAGATGCTATCCAGAAAGTGCAACTGAAGATAGATCGTCATCCCAAGCCCTACAAATTATCGTGGTTGAATAAAGACAGTGAGGTAATAGTAGAAAAATGATGTCTAGTGTCTTTTTCAATTGGAAAAAAAGATTTTGATAATATTTAGTGTGATGTGGTATCTATGAATGCGTGTCATGTATTATTAGGACGACCTTAGCAGTATGTTCGCAGCGTTATTCATGATGGGCGAAAGAAATACTTATTCCCTTAGCATCAAAAGAAAGAAAATTATTTTGGCACCTTTTAGGGACGAAACCACCCCTGCCCTGGTAATTAATAATAAGAACCTGCTTTCTATGTTCAGAGTCTTCGTAGAGGTTGGGTATGAAAAAGTGGTATATGCTCTACTACCCCGTGAGAACGGTGAACTAAAGGAGGATTCAAATTTACTAGTAGAAGTGCAACAGCTGCTAATGGAGTTTTCTGATTTGATGCCAGAAGATCTTTCTCCGGGGTTACCACTTATGAGGGATATTCAACATTAAATCGAACTTATCCTGGGGCCGAGTATGCTAAACTGAACAGTATGTTGCCTCAATCCCAAAGAAGCTGAAGAGTTGCAGCTGCAGGTTGTAGAATTATTGGAAAGGGGCTAAATTCGTGAAAGTATAAGTCCATGTACAGTTCATGCTCTACTAGTACCGAAAAAAATGGGTCGTTGTGGATGTGTGTTGACAGCAAAGCAATTAATAAGATTACAGTGAACTGTAGGTTTCCAATTCTCAGTCTGGATGACATATTAGATCAGTTGTCCAGCTCTAAGATCTTCTCAAAAATGGACCATAAAAGCGGATACCACCAAATCAGAATCAGGCCTGGAGATGAGTGGAAGACGGCGTTTAAGATGCAGCATGGATTGTACGAGTGGATGGTCATGTCCTTTGGACTATCCAATACACCCAGCACTTTTATGAGGTTTATGCATAAGATTTTACGACCTTTCATGAGGAAGTTTGTGGTAGTCTACTTTGACGACATACTTATTTATAGTCCGATGTGTGAGTCATATTTTGATCATCTTTGTGCTATTTTGATATAATTAGGATGGAGCGCTTATTCATCAATCAGAATAAGTATTCTTTCTTCATAACTTCTGTAATTTTTTTGGGTTTTGTTGTGTATACTGATGGTGTTCATGCAGATTAATCCAAAATTGAGGCAGTCTTGAATTGGCCCAAACCAAAAAGTTTGCATGATGTCAGAAGTTTTCATAGATTAGCATTCTCTACCGCTGGTTCATCAGAAATTTCAGCACTCGGATTGCTCCTATCACGAAGTGCCTTAAAGGACGTGATTTTCAGTGGACCAAGAAGACAGAGGCCATCTTTCAATTAGTTAAGCAGAAGATGACAGAGGCCCCAATCTTGGCACTTTCGAATTTTGAGAGTGTGTTCAAGGTAAATTGTGATGCGTCTGGAGTTGGCATTAGTGGTGTTCTGAGTTAGGAGGGGTATCCAGTAGCTTTTTCAACGAGAAGCTGTCAGGATCAAATAAAAATTATTCTACCTATGATTTGGAGTTCTATGCCATAGTTCAGACTTTGAAGCATTGGTGTCATTACCTGGTATAGAGAGAGTTCGTCCTTATCATGAGGCCTTGAAGTACATCAATGGTCAGCACAGGCTGAGTAGGCAACATGTAAAGTGGGTAGCGTACTTGCAGGAGTTTACATTTGCACTAAGGCATCAAGCGGAAAGTTTGAATCGAGTAGCAGACACATTGAGCCATCGCACATTACTCCTCACCATTATGAGCACCAGAGTTGTCAGGTCTGAAGCATTTCTTAATATGTATGCTGCAGATCTTTCCTTTGGGAAGATAATTCAGGAGGTAACTGATATTCACCGACATGATTTTGTTTTGCAAAATGGTTATCTGTTTCGTGGATTGTAGTTGTGCATTCCAAACTGTTCACTAAGGTAGCAGATCATTAGTGAACTTCATAACGAGGAACATTTTAGGCGAGATAAAACATTGGTGTTGGTTTCTTCTAATTATTATTGGCCTAAATTGAGCAGTGATGTGGCGCATTATGTGGAACAGTGTTATGTATGTCAGAAGTCCAAAGGAGCTCTTACTAGTGTTGGACGCTATACGCCATTACCTGTACCTGAAGCTCCTTGGTTTAATGTGAGCATGGATTTTATATTGGGCTTACCCCATAAACAACGAGTGATAGATTCCATTCCAGTTGTGGTTGACAAATTTTAAAAGATGTCTCATTTTATGGCCTGTCGGAAGATGATGGATGCTACTCTGATTGCTCATACTTCAGGGAAATTGTGCATTTACACGGTGTTCTCCAATCAATAACATCTGATCATGACACTAATTTCATGAGTCATTTCTGAAGGAACTTGTAGGAGAAACTGGGAACGAAGTTGAATTTTAGCAATGCCTACCACCCCCAAACAGATGGTCAGACAGAGGTGGTAAATCAGAGTTTGGAAATCTTTTGAGAAGTTTGACAAGGACTAAACCGAAGTAGTAGGATTTGGCATGACCTCAGACAGAATTTGCCTATAACCGATCAAAGAACAGAACCACAGGATTGAGTCCATTTGAAGTTACCTATGGTCAAAAACCATCAGGAGTACTTGATTTAGCCCTTATCCTATGTGTGGGTCGTTTCATTCACAAGGCTGATGAGATGGCAGAACATCTCCGGGGTATCCATGAACAGGTGAAGTTGTCCATTCAGGAGAGTAATTCCAAGTACAAAGCTCAGGCAGATAGTCACCATCATTAGGTGCTCTTTGATGTTGGTGATTTTGTGTGGGCAGTATTAACTTGTTAACGTTTTCCAGTTAGGGAGTATAATAAGTTTAAAGAGTAGATATTGGACCATGTGAAGTGCTGCAGAACATCAATGATAATGCTTACAGGTTGCGCGTTCCCAGCCATTTGAAGACTTTCGATGTCTTCAATGTGAAACATCTAAGTCCATGTTTTGTGTTCGATGAAACTAATGTGAATTCGAGAGCGAGTTCTTTTCAACTCGGGGCGACTGATACATGAAGATTCGAGTCAAGTGATGCTAATATGTCAGATAGCATGTTGATGGCGTTGAGATACCATGAGATGGTGGATCGGCGCAAAGATGGAAAATAAATGCAATCTTTCCTTAATTGGGGCAATTATGATACGTTTTGGTAATTTGGCCATAACTTTGGCTACGGTTATCAGAATCGTTATTATGACCCAATCCGACAAACTCATTTCGGCACGCACATCGTGATCACCAAGTTATGCTCACCGGGCATCAACTTCGAGCCCAAAATCTGCTATTTTCCTTTTCAATATTCAATTTTTAATTATTTTTTACTATTTATGGTAATATTTCTTTTCCTTTTTTCTATATGTTAGAGAACCCGGATTGAGCGAAATTTTTGGCAACTTACTTTTTTTGTTTCATATTTTATTTTGGTGTGATTTTTGGGATTTTTTCATTTTTGTTAAATTTTTCATATTTTTGAATTTTCTTAGCTATTTAATCTGGTTTGTGGGTTTATTTTCGTCATTCTGCATTGATAATAAAATTGAGCTAATTACAGAAAATTTCTCTGTGTTTTTGTGAGGCGTTTTCTTTCGTACTTCTCTTTGTGAATTATATGTTGTAACGAGCCTGTAGGATAATCGCTATCTTTCCCGACGTCATTTAGTAATGTGCTTGTTATCCAAGTTTGAGGTGGTGAGGAGAACCTTCAACAACAATTAGGATTTCAGTGGCTCAGGGGTGAGTGTGAGATAGGTTGAGTCAATATGAACCAAATGAGATGTCCAGAGTGTCGAGACCTAGCAATTGAACCACAGTAGCTGGTGTCACGCGAGACTAACAGGGTTGGATGTGTTACCAGGTAAGTGTAGCCCGCTGAATGAAAAATCATCAGCCGAAACAGGCATGGGCCATTTACTCTCCTTGAAAGTTAGAATTTAGTTCTGCCATTTATTTTCATAAACAAAAAGTATAACATGAAATGCTAATAAAAGTATTACCTGAGGCAGTAGCATCTGCAACATAGAAATCTTTCAGAGGTGTAGGCTCAAATGCAAAGGCAAGCTACAATGCTGAAGAAGAGAATGCTTTTCGCCATTTTGAGCTAAATTAGTAGTGGAAATGGAATTTTGAAATAAGATTAAGTTTTGAGCTTATTTATAGGCACCACCCTTCAATCAAAGTATACTAGGAAAAGTTATTTTATCCTTTTTGAATAAAATGTGAATCTGCTGTCCCGCAGAGACTACAAGCAATCGAACCAAATAAAATTTGAGGTTGAAAAATGGTCATAGATGAAATTTTCAATTGAAATTAGAAATTTGTATATTAGCTATTTGTGTTATTGTTATGGATTGAATCTCTCTTGCTGGCCTGCAACTAGGGGCGAATCCAACATCAATGTTCAATTATGGTGGAAGTTGACTTTGATCGTTGACTGTCGACAATCAACGATCGTAATAGCCTAGTATTTTATTAAAATTTGATTAAATAATATTAAAAATTGTTTAATATATATATGTAAATGCACTAAAAAGTAAAAATTATATACATATGAAAATATAGTTCAATATAACTCAAAATGCTAAAAAAAATACGATACAAAACAATCAAACACTTGTTTGATTTTCTACCATGACATAATGCAACAAAAGTACATAATCACGCTTAGAGCAATTCGAATTAAAAGAATTTAAGATATGCCACATGAGCAATTTACCAGCAAGATAAACTTAAGGAACAAAGCTAACAACATCAAGACAAAATAAGCAATCTCAGTTAATTACTTAAAACCCTTTAATGAACAACAAAAACTGCAATCATTTTCCACTACAAGACTAGTTTTAGAGAAATAGAAGTTGAATGGATCCTACATAAAAATATTACTGATTTAATCCAACCATCCATAAACCATCAGCACATATCAATTAATAAACAAAACCCATAATCTGGTTAAGGAAATGCACAAATCCAATTATCCATGCCAATAAAACTCATAATCTGAAAAACTCAGTCATAAAAAAATAATTATAATTCAATTAATCTGATAATTAATTATAAGTAAAATTCAAGCAAAACCATAAATCTAAAAAACAAGAGAGTGAAGGAAAAAAAATTAATTACCTTAGACCCACACTGCTTGCTCGGACTCGATCGTCGGATATTCGTACCTGACATCGTACCAGTTCGTGCATGGTCCACCGCTCGCACAGTTGCACTTCCCACTTCGCAGGCGTCGCAGCTGCTACTTATGCTTCGAATGGAAATATGGAAATGGAAGGAAGGATTTCACTTTGCGTCTTTGTGTCTTTGCTGCCGGTTTCAAATGTTGGGGATTTAGAGTTTGGGTTGGGGGAAATACCATGGATGATGGACCAACCAATCATTGATTTCCTCTATGGGCTATATTTTTTAAACAAAAAGAGGCCCATGGTCCAATCACCAGCCCAAGCCCAAAAGAACAAAAAAAATGGAGCTCTTCTTCTTCCCTCCTTGCAGCCTTTATCTCTGCAACTGGCTTCGTCTCTGCAACTCTTCTTCTTCTTCCCCCCATTGTCCAATCACCAGCCCAAGCTCCAAAGAAAAAAAAAGAACTCTCCTTTTTCCCCACTTCAGCCTTCGTCTCTACAATCACAAACTCGAACAATCAACTGGCTCCGCCCCTGTGGCTCTGGCGATCCACGAATATAGCTAGAGTCGCCGTCCTATCTCGCCACCACCTAGATCTGCCACTGCTTGCAACCCTAAAGACTCAAATGAAAGTTTATAAATGATATATATATTTTTAGTTTTCCATGATGAGCTGAACGAGTCTAACTTGAATAACCCCGTTGGAAAATTACTTATTTTACAGCCTGTTTAAATTTAAATTCAATCAGCAAACTAAGTATGTTTAGAAAGTATTTGGGCCCTGTTTGTACCCCTTTAATTTCAAAAAGTGTATTATGAAATAGTGATTGATATTGAAATGTGTGGTTAAAAAAGAATGAAAAGTTTTTTATTTGTGTTATATTATTTTAATGAAAAAATGTGTAATTGAAAATGAATATTGTAGAAAAAATAATATGATAGAATGATTGACAAACAAAGGCTTATAAACAATTTAAATTATAAATAAATAAATTTGAGTGGTGAATAATACTTGTAAATTCCTCGAAATGCGTATGGACAAAAAGTAACTTAAATATTTATATACATGTAAGTTTATTTTGCACTAAAAAATTAATACTTAATAATAGAATCCTATGTTTTTATCAAAATTAATTCTTTTAACACTAAGTGTTGTGTTTAAGTCATAAGTTTTGGAAGTAATTTTTAGAGGAAACTAATATACATTTATAATGTATCATGGAAAAGAGAATCAATCCAACAGCAAAAGGACATACATAACAACACCATTATTCAACGTTTTGACACTTTCTTACTGATGCAATATACCCAAACCAGATTAATTTGCAAATTAGTGTGTGATTATATCATCCAATAATTCAAATATTATCCAACATTCAAAGCTCATTCTTGCTTGCAGATTGATTAGTAAATAAAAAACTTAAGATTATATGTTGCTGGGATTTCGGGCTTCATATTTCATCTCTTTCGCCATTTCCTGTAATCATTGTTTTGGAAACAACAGAGCTAAAGCCTGGATTGATTCTGAGATGCAAAGCAACCACCCTTGTGATTATGCAACTGCCACAACCTGTCAAAACTCAAGTCCTAAGATATCGAAGAAATTTTGTGGTAGCACTTTCCATTTCAAGGGTATCGAGACAGTTTCTAGTAATTTTAATCATTAATTATTCTATTTATTATATGGTCACTATTAATTTTTTTTCCCTAATTTTAATATGGCAATCTTGTTTATATGACCAGGGATCATCAACCCCCCTAAATAAAATAAGAAAAGCAAAGTAGACCAAAAGAAACGGAAACTACATGATTGTATCATTTAAATTTTGTCTTTAGGCATGGTTCATTCTTTTTTCATCAAATCCAAAGCCTAACACGTGCAAAATTTTATTAAACATGTGGCGTGAGACTTGAATTTAGGATCTTTGCCTACTCCGATATCATGTTGAATCATTTGATCTTAAAGATTAAGTTGTTAGAATGAATCGAATATATCATTTAAATCTTATCTTCAACAATGTCTATCATGATAACAAATAAAAGTTATATAGTAGCTCTACAATAGATGGTAAAATATGAATAAACGTATACCTTCTAGTTATGTACAGAATTCAGCCCCAAAACTGAGTGCATGGCATTTAAGATTTCTCATGTTCAACTGTATCAAAAGGAGGAATACAACTTGTGCATTTGGTCAGAATGTCAACAGGCAATGTCAATAAAGGAGAGATGCTTACATTTTTTTCATATCATTTTATGTTTGCATTTTTTAATTAATAAAATGCGGATAAAATTTTAAGCTTGTTAATATTCTTAATGATTTAAACTTGTTTACTATATTTACAGTTCAATCTTCTTAATGATTTATGTATGTACTGGTATACATCTTATTTATTGTGGATTGCTGATGAGACTAGATCTTGATGCGAATTGAGGATTTAATTCAGAGAATAAAGATAAAGTAATTTTACCAAATCAGTGCTTTTCTTTAGATTCTGATGTTATAATTTTGCAATGTACCGTGATTACTTGAAGCTTGGAAGATGTCAAACTCTGATTTTGATAGCTTTCAAGTTTGTTTCATTCCCAAAGAGAAGAAGGAGATTTAAGATATTTTATGTGAT